TGACCCACATGGGGTGGCAGACCTCTCCTGACCCGCCCACTTCTCCCCACAGGAGTGTACATAGTCAGTGGGCCTGATCTGCTCCCTGGGTTCTGTCTCTGGTGAATCCCTTCAACCCCTGCACCTCTTGCCTATACCACAGTTCTGTATGCATAAATAAATAAATCTTAAAAAATAAAAAATATATTACCAAAGATGTATAGCTGGGGAACAAGGATGTGAAATTGTGCAACATCATTAGTCATTAGAGAAATTGAGGTAGCACTATATCTTCAAATGCTTTAAAAAAAATTTTAAGCTATGAATACCAAGTACTAACAAAATTGGGGGGCAACTGGAACCTTCAAATATCGCAAATGAGAATATAAAAGGAACTGTGTTGCAGAATTGCTTGGAAATTTCTTATGAAGTCAGTTAGGAAATTTGACACTACAGTCTCTAAATATTCACTCAAGAAATGAAAATGTATATTCACACAAAAACTGGTACAGGAATGTTTACAGTAATTTCATTACCTGAAAACAACCCAAACACCCCTCAACTAGGGAACTGATATAAACAAACTAGTATATCCATACCATGAAATACGATCCAATATAGGGGGGGGGGAGAGGGGGGGAGAGAACAAATGATACATAACAAGGATGAATCTCAACTACATTATATAAATTTCAAGCCAGATTAAAAAGGCTCCACGGTATTTGCTTCAAATTATGTGACATTCTGGAAAAGAAAAAACTTTAGAAATAAAAAATTGATGAGCAGTTGCCAGGCTGTGTGTGAGGAAGGGGTTAACTACAAAAGATTACTGGGTGAAGTGGGTAGGAGGGTAAAGACAGATGATAAAACAGTTCTGTACCTTGTTTGTGGTGATAATGGCATAACTATTTACGCTTTGTCTAGATTTTTAGAACTGCACATTAAAAATGTTAATTTTAACACATGTAAATTATACCTCCGTTTTCTCAAGTTAACCTCTGTGTATAATCCTTGCTTGGTTATGTTTGTATTTCCAGAAGAAAAACTTAGAATTGCTGAGTTAAAGTACAACTGCACTTCAATTTTTGTTAATCCGCCAAATTATGCTCCAAAGAGGTTGTACCAAATTTTACTAGCAGGTTGTTATGAAAGTGCCTGTTAACCCGCAAGAGCCTGAAGTCAACGAATATGGTCAATTTTGTTGTTGTTGTTCTTGTTGTCTTTGTCAAATGATGTGTCCAAAGTATCTTTGAATCTGACATTTCTTTAATTGTTGAGTTTCTAGTCAAATGTTTGTCTGTGAAATGACTATTTGCATCCTAAGCAGTTTATGGTCCATTCCACATGACTGGTGATTAATTTTTACATTTAAGTTCTAGGTTTCATGGGCTAGAAGCCTTAGGACGGTGGAAGTCCTTGCTATTAATCCCCAACTTCAGTAAAGCTCGCGGCCACGGCCAGGACACCCCCGGAGACACAATCTCTGTGGAGGCTACCGCCACCCTGAGAGAATCAGACTTGACCGGCGCTCAGCCCCAACCCAGGCAGAGACCGCCCCTAGCCCGAGAGCGCGCGAACACCGGCAGACCCGCCCTATCACTGGCCCTGCCCCTCTGTCGAGACATCCAGTCTCCGCGCCCAGCAGCTTGCCGCGTCCCTGTCGCGCCCGGTCATTGGCTAGTCGCGCGAGGCCGCGCAGTCCCTCACCTCCACCCGAGAGAGCGGCAGGCGCAGAAGAGAACCACTGAAACTTCGCAGCGTCACCTACTGCCCACCAAAGGGGAGGGAGTCAGTCCCGCCACCACAGCTTCTCTGGAGAAGGAAGTCGCCGCCAGTCCCAAGCACGCCTGCCTCAGGGAACTCTGTTTCCTGGCAACCAGAAGCGCGACGCTTCCAGTCTCGCGATAGGTGAAAAGGGCTGTACCACTCGGAAATAAGGCGGGGAGCCCCGAGTGGCCAGGAACACCCATAGTGTCATGGTAGCTTGGACACCCCTTTGTCTTTTTCGTCTTCTCCGAGGACGCTGTGGGTAGGGGATGGTTTATTCATAGCTAGGTGAATTCCGAAAGAGGTTGTGTATCCCTATTAATATCATTTCCTGCACTTCAACTCGCTGAGTTCAGTTCCCTCCCTGGTAAAATGGGGATGATAGTTAATTCCTTTCTAGTAAGATTGTTTTGCAGTTCGGAAAGTTCAGATATGTGATAGTCCTCGTTAATTTTGTATGTTGTGTGACTTTTTAAAAATATTTCTGCACAGATTGAGCTAAAACCAATAAGGTTAGTAATTACTATTTACACTTTATTTAACTCGTGATTTCTCTGATTCTCATCGCATCAAGACTTTCCCTGGGCTCCCAAACTGACTTTCTTTATCCCAACTGCCATCAAGTAGCTGCTCAACAGTCCAAACAGACCTTTACAGTTTATCAGGTATTTTCATGTACAAGAACCCTACATCTTCTATCTTAGGTAGATAAGGTGTGTTTTCTTAAAGTGTTTTGCCGGGAGAAAGGTCAACATGGGTTAAGTGAAACGCTCAAGGAACCACTGCTACAGTACGGGGCAGTACTGGGTGTTAAGCCTGGCTGTGAACACCATCCCTATGTTACTAAATTCTGTCTCCAGCCCAGACTTCTTCCTTGAACTCCACACTCTCATCTCACTCTGTGACATCTCCACTTAAATGTAAGAAGCATCTCAAACTTAAGATATCAAAAATCGAACTTCCCACATGGCACAGCGGACCTCTCCTGTCTCACCTGCTGCTCTCCTCAGCAGTGTACTTCGTAGATCTACCTGTTCTGCTCCCCACTCTAAATCTGGTGAATCCTCTCACCACCCCAGCACTTGTGGCCTGCACCCCAGTTCTGCATGCATAAGTAAATAAATTTAAAAAAAAAAAAAAGAACTTCTCCACAGCCCACCCTACACTCATGTCAGTAAATGATAACTCCATCCTGTCAGGCTCAGGCCCAAATACCTTGAAGTCAATCTCAGTTCCTCTTTCTATAATTAATTTGTTGTAAATCCTATTACTACTACATTCAAAATACACCCAGAATCCACCCAATGCTCACAACACCCAGTGCTTCCATCCAGATCCTTTCTGCCATCATGTCTCACCTAGATGTTTACACTGGCCTAACTGTTGCCTCCTTTCTCCCCACTACTTTCAAGCAGCAGCCTGGGATGAAAGTTTTAAAACCAGGTGATTTATCTGCTCAGGACTCTCCATGGCTCCCAGTGTCACAGTCCCTTCAATTCCCACAGATCCTAAATAACCAAGTCCTCTTTGCTTCAGCGTCAGGTTCCTCCTTGTTAGTGTTCTATACAGGAATTTCCTCCCAGTATTTATCCAGAAATTGTGTTTTCAAACAACAATATTTTTTTATAACAGTTTATTTTTACATCATTTTGTACATTTTTTTCCCATCTCAGTTGTAATTCCCGCGGGTTTCCCATCACTGTGTCACCCATGTGCCATCACCAAAATCCCATGCACTTCCCTCCCCACCCCACCCCACCACCCCCATTTTTGATCCCATTCCCCACTCCACCCCCCAAAATGTCTCTGGTATATGATTGTTCATTATTTTTGTCAAACAACAATATTTTTTAAATCAGCTAAGAACGCAAGAAAATGGAAGAAATTATTGTAATTCTATAAAAAGTAAAAAAAAATAGTAGGCCTTTTCAATCAACATGAAGATGTTACTGAAGGAATCCACTGAAGTCAAAAGCAGAAGCAGGAAACACTGACAGGCTAAGTCAGAAGTTGAGGTCAACATTTAGAGAACAAGACAGGAGCACCTGGGAGAGTATCTGTCTTGGTCAATCTTTCTTTGAGCTCATGCCATGTTACAAGTGTGTGTGCTTGGCCCTATGGCTAACAGTGAGTGATGCTTGCAAAGAAAATATTTAGTTATCAGAATCCAAAGAGTGAGGTATAGAGATACTGGGGACCTCTATTTAAAGGAGTTTGTGTGGGAGCCCTCCCTCGTGGCACAGTGGGTTGGAGAGTTGCAATGCAAGCTAAGCCAGGCTGTGGCCCCTTCAGATGGATCCCTGCCCAGAGGTGACCCACATGGCATAGTGGCCTCTCCTGACCCGCCCACTGCTCCCCTCACTAGTATACTTTGTCAGTCGGCCTATTCTGCTCCCTACTCTGTTTCTGGTGAATCTTCTCGCCACCCCAGCACCTCTGGCCTGTACCCTATTTTTGTATGCATAAATAAGTAAAATCTTTAAATAAAGGGGCTTGTGCGTTAATGAGTGCATATTACAAAATCATGGTATACTTTTGAAAAATTCTGAATGATATTCCCCAAAATAACAAATTTGGGGTTCAAAATAAGCCCCCAAATTGGCAACTACCTACCTGTGGTATTAACTTTGCTTGTATGTCATATTATTCAGATGGTAACCAAAGATTTTTTCTGTGTTCTCCAGTATTTGAATTTTTGCTATAAGTTATGAATTTTGTAAACACTCATAAATTTAT